GCTCAGACCTCAGAGCTCGACAGAAGCATCGGCGCTGCCAGATAACCTGCCCCTGACAGAGGCACTATTGTCCTCGAGTGAAACCGAAATCCTGCACCTCGCCGACGGTTCTCTAAAAATCTCCACCACTCAGACATGGTGCAGTTTATCAAAGCAAGTGGAGAGGGCGGCGAGAAATTACACTCCAGATCCCACGGCTCAAACCGAGAAAAAAAAAAACCTTATTTCCGACAATGGCTGCAGCAGATGGAAGTCTGGGAAGGTCGTCAGAGGGTCTGCAGTAGTACCAGGACCACTGCAGAGCCTAAAGCTCGAGGTTCTAGGATTACACAGAATCATAACCTATATTTCACTAACAACATCCATCCAGTCCCAGAGAGTGGGCTTTAATGAAAAGAAAAGGCACGGCTCTCTGAGAGTGATGGAAAAAAAACAGATGACTGATGAGGGAAGCTGGCTTGTTAGATCGCAGCTCCACACACGGGGAAAAGCACTTACTCAGGATGCTGAAATGCACTGCAGGGGTGAAATTTTGTCATGATTCAGCCCGAATTTTGCAGGTGTGCACGCACGTTTCATCGCAGAAACGATGAAGCCGGACTTCACCTACAGCACATGCAGTATATTATCTTTCAATCTGATTCTGTCAGGAGCTCAAATAACTCATTAACTCTATCAAAGCATATTGATGTAAGCGGGTTATCAAAGCAAGCCCGGTAGGCTCGCATCAGGGATTAAGGATTTAGCTATTGACATGCTCCTGTGATTAGTTTGATGCTGCACAGGTTTGTCAGAGGCCAGTCTGAGGGGCAGGTCGGCGACACGTCTGCACCTTTGGCAGGATTCTACAACAAAAGGAAGAAGTATTTAGAAATGTTAAGTGTACAGTAAGAGATGTACTCATCGGCCCTCCAGCACAACTCAAGCCACAAATAGAACGAGACCACTTTAATCCAAGATCATTTAGCATTTCATCTGGGAAACAAATCACCGCAGTTATTGCCTGCGGTTGGCTGTGAAGCTGTGGGCATTATTTGCAACCTCCCCACAGATGATGACAGTTAATAAACCGAGCATGCCGTTGCGGGGGGACGAGGAGCTTTTCTATTATTCAGCGAGTCTTGTCCGACTCCCACAGAAGCCATCAGACCCTGGCAGGCTGTCGCCGAGCTCGGGACTGACAGGTGGGCTTCCTGTGGGAGAGGCTGCTCGCTGCCAGGTACATCATCGAGTCTCAGATTCACTTCCAGCCGGCTTTACTGTCCAACCCATGACAAGGCTGCCACCAGGGGCGGACTGAACGGTGGAGCGAAGTGTAGCTGGATCGTCTAACAACCTGGAGAAAGCATGTTTGTTTGATTTCATTACTATTTCTAACAACTATTACTACTTAAAGTCCTCATTAGCCGGGCCTGGCTGAACCGGCACAGACAATATGCAGTGATGATTCTTAGTCACGTTTAAACACTGATTCCCGGCAGAAGTAGACACAAACTTCTCCTTTCTTGCCAATGATAGCTGGTATGACGACTTGTGCTGCTGGTGTACTGAAGTACTGTTAGCTCCATGAGATGGTCTCACAACAAAAACACATCTCCAGCTGACCTGCTGCCAGCGGCGGCATGAACTGAAGCTAAATCTGCAGGTTCAAGCCAACAAAATCAAATTAATCTTAAATGTATGTTCACAGTCTTTATAACAATTGGTTGCTGAAGGTCAAATACCTCTAAATGTGTAAAGTTAACTTATACTTCCATCACATTGAGTTTTTTTATGGTGTAATCTGTGAGCCCCAAAACTGCTGCAATCCGGTAATAACGTGCTCCTTGACTTGGAAGTGAAATCACTGCTGTAGATAACAGGTTCGTTAGCTGCACTTTACTCTGGAGCAGATGGACGTTTTTGTTGTTTGTGGAGCGATTCAGTTGTATTCAGTTTGAAATATTCAACCATAACTTTACCGTCATAATGCAGAAAGTTGTTTAACTTCATTATCAATTATCATTACTAAAATCTTATTTTTTATTTCAGAGCCATTTTTCATGCCAAAGGTGTCAATGGTGATTTTATTATATACATTCATAATAAGTGACTTGTAGGGACAAACTGAACTGGCTAATTTAGGTGCAATCTTTCAAAATGATTGATTGAAATAAACCTTTTAAGTTGTCGTGTTGACAGAACAATGCTGGAAATTAAAGCAGCTTAATACTGTGTGTAATTACTGGCTTAATAACTTCTTTTTTTTTTTTTAGACCTGTTTCCCTGAACTCAATATAGTTTGAACACAATGTCCTGAAAAGTTAACCGGAAAGAACTGATGCAAACTGTACTTTTTTGTCCCATTCAGGATCAACACTAGTTTTTAAAATTGTTGCGTAAAGAGTCGAAGGTCGTGAAGAGGAGACTATGAAAAGAAAAACTGTGAAAATTAGCGGTAACTGTACAAAACTGAATGCGTCATTATGAAATAAAACTTTACCAGAAAAAAAGACAAAATAAAAACTGACTTTCAAACAAAAATATCTACAATTAAATAACTTTACTTCCTATAAAATTCTAGTAGAAATGATTATTTCACAATAATATGCTGAGCTTGAATATTGTCTGAATATTCACTTCATAAAGTCTTGAATGAAGCGTGTGTTTGTATTTATACATTTTTTTTTTTTTGTGTGTGTGTCGGTGATAAACTGTTGATCTTTTTCTGAAGCTCACTGAAGCAGACAATTTTCCAGGATTTTCCAGGTCACATCCAAACACAGAACAACACAAACAAAAGGTGTCTTTTTCAATGTCTTCTTAACTTGAAACCTTTTGCGATTTCCACCTTTAAACCGCTGACCAGATGCTCTCCAGCAACACAAACACTCTTAAACTAAATCAGAGCGAAGCGTCGACTGTCCCTGAAAAACTTGTATCTCCTGATTTGGTGATTTTAAGTCAGAGGATTACATGTTTCTTTATGGATTGAGGAAATTATCCTCCTTAAAGCTGATGAAAACCCTCTCAAACCCCTCTGGATTATCTCAGAAATGCACTGTTACTAAGCTTAGAACGAGGCAGACATTTTATTTTGTTTTGACATCCGTGTGCTTTACCATTATGGAAAAAAAAAAGTATGAAACATGAAGGAGTAATTCGGCTGTTTGGTTCGAGTTAATGGATAAACCGTACGGTGTTCCCCTCCAGCTACTCTTTCTTTAATCAGTAGCAGCATCTCACTTCCATGTTCTTTGACTTTATCAAGATGTACAACATCCCACACGTCCAAGTGTTGGTTATTTATCTCTGGTAGTTGTCACTGCTGATGCCAAACGAACATCATCACAATCTGACATCTTGTTCGCATCGAGTTTCACTGCTCTGGACACTGTGTGCTAAGAAAACCTGGTGTGCCACACTGAAACATCTGTCTGAGCCCCGAGCCAAAAACAAAAACCGACAACAACAACAACTACAAACTGACAGACCATATGGTGGAGCTTGCATTTCCCCGGAAATGGAAATTGGATTAGTTGTAAAAAAAAATGAAGAGTAATCAGAGCAAATAGAGCTGCGTAGCATATCTATCATTACAGCTGCTCGTTACTAATCTTCTTCAGTCTTAATAAAATTCCAAAATCCTTATTTACTGTGGGAGACTTGCCGCGGCATGAAATGTGCACCGTCTAGTTTTGTTTAGAAGCCCGGAAATATTTAGGGACTCTGTCTTTTTGGCTCACAAACACTTTTGATTTGTTATGGTTCTCTGAAAGCCGGCGCTGGCTGTTACTTGTTGGACCAGACAGGAGAGATGCAACGAACACGTGCGCCGCTGGCACCGAGCACACGAGCTTATCTGCTCATGAGGAGGAACAACGCTGCAATGAGTGTGGACAATTATGATTCACGAGAATAGGAAGTTAAAGTCATTAGGGAGGAAAGCTGTACTCATGGTCACTTTCCCTCCTGACATCTGGCTTTTACGATCCCTGAGTCACCCCATGAACCAACGTGGATTAGAATGGATTTTTCTTTTTTTTTACATTATCATGCGACACATTGTTCTTCAGCATATTGTTTTGTACAACTTCATCATCATCTGAAGAGAAGACACACACTAAAGCAACAGACAAAACCTGATCCTATCATAGCAATATGACATTTCTGTGACCTTTACTCAAATGGAAAACACTTGAACATCCAAGAAACAGCATCATGAGTTTCATCACACTTCCTCACACGCTGCTTGTTTTTTTTCCCATCTGTGCAACTTGGATAAAGTGACTGTCTCCACATTTTGATGTAATTTCCTTTTGAGAACCAGATAAAAGTTGGCCACCAGCTTTTCTTTTATCACGCCAGAGGATGCTCAGACACACACAGCACTGGATGTGAGCGGCTGAGTTGGACGCAGAAAGAAAAAGCAAACTTCAAAAGAGAAAATCTGTCAGTCTGGTGAGACTTCATGTGTGAGATAAAGTAAGAAAAGTACTTTTGGAGTGTTTCAAGGTGACACCGTGTCCCAGTTTTGATTCTAATTTTGCCTACAAATAGCAACTCGTGACAGAAAATGGAAAAAGCAGCTTAAACAGTTTATAAAAAGAGATTTTAGATGGACGAGGAGAAACTTGCTCCATCCACCATCATGACTATCAACGTGCTGCACCAGTCGACACTCGGTTCCTCGTAAATTTTGCCAAAGATGCGCAATTACGCAATTAAACCAACCCGATCAGTGTATCAGAACATTTCCACCACACTCTCTGTTCGTTATCAAAGAACCTGGGCCGCGCTGATAGACAAGGCTCAACTTTCTTGGAGCCTCTCTGTCGCTCTAACCAGGTCACAGGCTGAGCAGCGAGCCTGTGAGAAACTTTTCTCCCATGCTGGATCGAGTTTCTCTGCGGCTTCGTGGCCAGCCTGTGATTTCTGTGTGATTTATGGAAATGTAGGACGAGTGGAAGGAGGGAAAGGGCTGCCTGCGTCCTGCTACGGCTCGGCTCCTGCCAACATACCTTTCTTTTCCGCCAGAACGCAGGAGCCCAGCCAGAGCAGAGAGGTGATCCACTTGAGAAAACGGCTTGCCATCGTGTTTTTGACGCTCCTGGAGGGAAGGTGTCATTCCATGCCCACGACGCGACACAAAAATCCGCTTGTTCAAAAGTTCCCAAAATCCTCGGGTTTGTTCTCGCTACGGGTTTTTCCTTCTCTGGGAAACTTTGACAGCTCCTCCTCCTCCAGATATCTTCAGCAGTCCGAGCTCCGGCGGCGAGGACGCGCTGCTGCCTGCGCTGACGTCAGCAGGAGGGAGGACAGATGCGCGTCTCTGCTGCTCAGGTACGAGCTGAAAATAATAATAATAAAAAAACATAGTCTGCATTCATATAGCTGCTCGATCCTTCACAAAATAGACTGCAGCGTGGAACAGGTCACAAAATCTGCATTAAAACATGTAAAAACACGGATGTAGTTCGTTAACTTGCTCTCAAACTAGTCGATCAACACAAAACAAAGCGTGAGTTTATGGTTTGATTCATGAGTTAGTTGAAGGAAGATCACCCAGATAACATGTAAGAGCCCAGTCCAAATAAGAAGTTATGCATTTTTGTTTGTCTGACCAGAACCCACATCACAATATATCAGATTTGTTTGGTTTGTTTTCACATGAACACATAAAAAAGCTTCATTTTCTGATGCTGATGACCAAGAATCATAAAGGAACATAAAGTCAGCTCCTCTTTTCTAGTTAATGTAAATATGAGTTTTGCAGGTGGACCCTGACCCGGACTGGTGGAGGCAGATGGCGTCCTTCCCTGAGCCTGGTTCTGTCACAGCTTTTATTTTCCTCCTCCCCAATAGTTTTTTTTGTTTGGTTCCTTCCCACAGTCCCTGACTGCTCTCTCAAAGGGTTCTCTGCCACTTGACAAATAAAACTGAATAAAAATTGAATCCATTTCAGTTTATTTAACTCCTGAAATGTTTAATTTTTTAGAACTTTAAAACAGAGGCCCTTCTAACTTGAGACTGTTTGACCTGAAATGATAAATTAAATAAATAAACAGCTTCTGAAAACCAGTTTCTGGGAAACAGAACTAGTCCATGAGCAGACTTCCCGGAACACATCGTTAGACGTCCTCCAGAAGAAGACAGACGTGGTGGAAACTCGCTGTGGATTGTATTTGTTAAGTTATAGTTGTCAAAACAGTTCTAACTAATTCAAGTAAATGTTTTGTTTGTCTCCAGTTCAGTTGGTTAAACTCGGCTAGTTTTCCACTTTCACAACTCGCAAGACGACAAAATAAACTGCAGTTAGCTCACGTTTATAAGACAGCAAGAAAAGACTTCTACTGAACAGTGTTTGTTCTCTATTTACATTCTGATTATCAATCAATATGTATTAAGAACACAAAAAGTAAGTGAGCACTAAGAAATCCTTCTTTCACATATATTACAGAGAAAGTGTTGCTCAAGCTAATGGATCACCCTCCACTATATCACTCACATGTTAGCCGTAAATAAAGGTTTGTGTATAATATATATAATAAAAAACAAAACAGAGGCGTATTTTTGTGCTGTCAGAGTAACTTACCTAAAACCCTTCTTTAATTTCTTCCCACCAGTTAGAGGATTTCTATTAAAAGCATTCCCTCTCCCTTCCTACCTCGGGGCCACATCTCACCACGACTGAATCAGTCAAACACTGTTTTGATTTCTGTCTGGTGTTTGACGTCGTGGTGCTGCGACGTCTTGCTACGTATCCCTCATGCCCGGTCTGCACACTGACAGCATGGTCCCTAAAACCAGACTGATTTATTGGTCTGTCTCTTCTACAAACTGCCTGCTTTAATGTACACAAGAACATAAAGATTAACCGTAAAAAAACACAACTTTGTCTGCGGTTAGAAAGAGAGATAATCCGATATAATACAATACTACATGGGTTTCCTTGTTTCGATGCTGCTGAGGCTCAGTAGCTGGTGGCGTTCTTATGTTATGTTTGGCTTAACGCTCTGGCGATGCCTCCGTTGGGGGTATTTGTTTGGGCTTTTGATGCGATTTTGGCCGTTTAGTGTGTCTATAAAAGGATAAGCAAAACAAAAACAGTCTTATTAATTTGCAAGAACAGAAATGTAATCCTCACAGCAAGAAAAGTGATTAAACTTTGTGATGCTGAGTGATATCAAAGACTTGCAGCCAGACTTAGAGACGTGACTGCAGGGTCATTCTACTGATTCATATCTACCTTTTGATTTTCTCTTAAATAGACCTGCACACACTCTGATGTCCCGCCGGCTATTTTTGCCACAGAAAGTTGGTGTGATGACGAATTATCCTGGACGTCAAACTGAACTTCTGAAGACTGCCCTGAATTTGGCCGATAAAAACTTCTGACATCCTATTAGCATTTTGCCCGCGTTTATCTCTTGACGTATGAAAGACAGTCGTCAGCATCAGTGTCAAGCGGCGGTTGGACGGAGAAGACCGTCGACAGAGCGTCCGTCTTGTGGGAGCGAGTCTAATTGGACGTCAAGCTGCTTAAATGTGCTTGTTGCTGTGCACATATCAGACTCTATGGGGACGGGAGTGATAGAAATCATTTTTCACGCCGGTGTTTATTTCATTACAGCGGGCCTAATGGCTCAGCAAATCGTCTTTGGTCGTACTGCTGGCGGAAGGGGGTTATTGTGTTGGGCCAAGCCGCGACCATTTTCCTCCACGAGAAATTACCTAATGCGACGCTAACGTTTCACATGAGACGAGAAGTGCTGTGGATGTGATGCGGCTCTCAGTTTAACTGTTCTAAGTGCTGTCACAGAAAGCATCCGTGGCCTTCGTCAGTGAGGTAACTGTTGACTGAAGGAACCGAGAAGAAGACGACAGCTGAAAGCCTCATAAAGGGAATCAGGAGAGGTCGCGTACCGCCAGCTTTACTTTCAGCGAAAATGAAATTGCAGCTTTACTTCAGGGTCATTTGCCGGAGATGTTTTGAAACCAAGGTTTGCCACATACTGAACCACTCGTTTAAGAGGAGGAGAGAGGGAGAAAGAAATCGCCTTGGCGTCCTACCAGCGGCCCATTTCTACACCACTGGCTCAATTATGAAATGTTTCGGTGAGAAAGAGAGACGCTACGGTTGTTCGAGCGGTTCGTTTTGCCGTCCGCTGCTATTCTGAGACGAGCAGAAACACTTAACAAACACAGAACAGCGGCCGGACCGGTGGGGATTCAAGAGAAAGCAAAACAAAGAAAGGCAGAGACAGAAGGGGGAGAGAGAAAGTGTCCAGAGGGAGACGAGAGATGATGTTCCACGGTGCAATATTCTCACACTTTCCATCCCTTAAGTTCAATAAGCGCTGCATGCTGGTATTTATCACCTGAAGGAACTTTATGGATTAGCAGTTAATTACTGCAGCTCGTGTTTGATTTATCAAAGAGGCCTTCAGGTGGAAATCAAGATGTTTACCTTGTTAACGTGTCCGTACGGTGTTTTTAATACGTATCGCTGGAGAAAACCGGTTGGAATCTGCAGTGTGCTGATTCCTAAGAACAAGAAGTCTTCCAGGGTTTCATATGTAAAAAATCTAAGGAACCAATCGTGTCGGCTTGCAGGATCTCCCTGTCGTTCTTCAGAATCAGCTTCAGATTTCAACATGGCTGAATTACTCTGATATTACAGCTCGTCACTGTGTTGCGTGTTCTCAGAGTGCATTTGGGGAGATTTAGGGGTTAAATGAACAACCAGGGAGAGACTTTAGGTGTAAGAGTATAAGATGCAACCTCTGAGAACATGATGTTGATACAAGGAGTCCTATTAAGCGGCTCAGTGAGGCAGAACAGCGATGGGAGTGTGTTGTTGGGGTCCTGAAGGTCTCGTGTCTGATCTGCATGACAGGGCCCAGATGGACCAGCAACATCTCAGTGTTTTTTGAAAAACAGTCACAGGAAAGCGACAACCCCCATCAGTCCTGCTGCCATTATTATTACTATGATTATTATTCCCCTGTTTGTTTCACTTGTACACGTCCGGGATGAGATGGTGCTGAAGACATATGGGATGGTGCAGGATTCACGTTCACAAACATCACACCAGCTGTGTATCAGAGAATGAATCCAGGAACTGAAGCAGATGAAGCTGTTTAGAGGAGCTTTTTAACAATGTGCTTATTGATTTTTCTCCTTTACAGCGAGATTAATACATTATTAAAAGTACAAACAAAACAACCAAAAAAACAAACTAAAGACACGAGGAGGAGCCACTTCAGATTCACTGGAGGACACGAAAACAATGTGCAGCAAAAACATTTAAGGAAATCCCTGCAGCACGACGGAGGAGACACCAGGCTCTGATACCGACTCAAAATGTTGTAGAGTTTATTGTTTTTTGACTAAACATGTGAGGTGCTCTGATGGCAGCATGTTCAATAACACTTCTTCTCTTTTTTTAATATTAAATATTCCTCCTCTCAGCATAAGGTGAGAATACAATCTTTTGATTTTAACACAGCGAGCGTTTGCCAGCTCAGATGTGATGATCTAATGCGTTCCTTTTTCACACAGTTTGAAAGAAATATGATGAAATAACACGATATATATAATAGTAAATGACTGTGCTAATGTTTTGGCCTGTTGGTTTAATAACTACCAGGAGCATGTTCTCTGTAAAAAAGGATGAATTAAATCAACACAAAATGACTGTGGCAGCTCTGGTTGTTGTTTTCAGCGTCAAGATCTTGCTTTGAAATGAGATTTTAGCCGCAAGACTCGGTAAGGGAAATAGTTTTTGTTTTAATTGGTAAACTCCTGCGTAGCTTTATTTAGAAAGCAGACTTGTACATGATCTAATCCTCACCTGGAGGAAGATGAGCAGAAATATTAAACAATTCCAAATCAAAAAATAATGGGTTTGACAACATCGAGTGAGAACACATCTAAGCTCTCAGATTAGCTTTCTCCGAACTACTTCATGTGCTCGCCGTGGCTGCCACATATCTGACATGTGAGAAAAGACACGGATTAAATGTGAGTGGATCCATAAAGGCTGTAATAATAGCATTCCAAATCCTGTTTTCAGCAGTATAGTTGAAGAGCCCCAGGCATTCGGAGCAAACTGTCAAGCACCAATTAATTAGGTTTAATTAGAGAAGGCAGTGAGATTACCTTGTATCTCACCATCTGCCCCCCTCAGGGCAAACCTCCTACAGCTAAACCTGGTAAACAACATAGTAAAGGCAAATATTTGAATGTAGGAATAGCTT